CACCCACAGGTCATACAGCAAACAGCCTGTTGTTGGGTTCAGAGCCACCGTTCACCCTCAGCTCTGCCTCTCACCAGATGCCTGGCCTTGGCTGAGCTGCACAGCTCCTAGTATGTGGGAGTCTATCACGCTCCTCCCGAGCCCTCGGCAAGGCACCAGGCACACACTGGGCCCTCCGTGAGCAGTCACTTGCTGCAGTGATGACCCCTTGGAAGCTGCTGGTGGACGCAGGCTGGAAGTCAGGAGAGTAAGCTCCTCTCCTGCACTGAGCGGGCTTGACGCAAGTCCATTCCGTTCTCTGGGTCTCAGTCTTCCCTTCTGTAAAGTGGGGTCACCTGACTTATCCTGCACCTGAGAACTCTGGGACAAAGCACCCCTTTTGTGTCCAGAGTGGGGCAGCAGGGGCCTCAGCAGAGATAAAGCTAGAATGTTCCGGGTGTTTCCATACGGGCTTAAGCATCTGAGTGAGGAGAGAGGATGGGTTCTTGCCAGTTAGCTGGTGCCCAGCCTGGGATGACGATCCTGGTCTCCAACCCACAGGTTGGCACTCTGCCTGGCCCCACAGTATTGAAGGGGGGTGTGTAAGAGAGGGCTGCACGGAGGGTTTGGCACATGGGGACAGAGCAGCCCTGACTCAAACAGTACAGCCACTGAGCCGCCCAGGAGCCACTGGGCTGAATGAGCAAGTCAAAATCCAGGCCCATGTATGCTAAGCTCCCTAGGCCTTGTCCTATGAGGATGCAGAAGCCAGCTCCTTGCTCATCTCACCTGGGCCAGTGAGCACTGTGCTACTCAAGAAAACAAGGGGCTTGCTAAGCAACAGTTCTCCAGAGTTCATCAAGGCCCCCCTACCCCTGCTGCCACCTTGAAGTCAATGTACACTTGGAAGAGAACCCCAGAGAACCCCCACAGGCTGAGGAGCCACTAGAGGGAGGCAGGGGTACAGAGGGAGAAGAGGAGGGTTCAGGGGAGTAGCTGCAGGAGGGGAGGGGACAAGGATGGCAGGGGTGGAGGCCTGAAAGGCTGGAGCATACAGGTCAGTATGGCCCACTCAGCTGCACCTCCAGGCCTGCTCAGAAGCAGCCTGAGCAGCAGGGCCCAAGGACCCAGGAGTTCCCTCCTGCTCTCAGCTCTGTCTTGGCCCCTGCAGTCTGGTCTGCACCTGGCTGTCTGCCCCTGACTTGTTAGATCCCAAGTCTACTAGGACACATCTCTGCTCATGCCTCCAGTGGCTTCCACCTCTTCCCTCACTCACTTCATTCCTGCTACATTGGTCTCCTTGCTGTTCTTGGAACATGAACAAGCACAGCACATTTCTGCCTCAGGGTCTTGCACATGCTGTTTCTTCTGCCTGGAATGCCCTTCCCCTGGACTTCCACAAGGCATACACTTAGCTTCCTCAGGTTGTTGCTCAAATGGCCCTGCTCGGTGAGGCCTTTCCTGACTCCTCAATTTAAAACTGAAAACTTCCCCTAGCTCCTGAACCCTTTTCCCGGCTCTATCTCTGTTCTCATTGCATTTATCACTTTTTAACATAGTTGATAATTTACTCCCTTAGCATGTCCATTGTTTACTCCTGGCCCCCCTGGAATAGAAGCTCCCCCCAGGCAGGACCTCGGTCTGTCTTGCTCACTATGTGTCCCCAGCACCTAGACCAGCACAGTCTGTGCTCCATAATGTGTTGATTGAACAAAGTTTTTAAACACCCATTACACAAGACAGACAAGCTTCACTATGGTGAAGTCTTTAAAACCATTTCCTCCATGGGAGTTTCAATTCTTCTTTCTCCTGGGGTTGGGTAGGGAGGAAATGTGAGCCACTGCTCTGGCTCCAGCCCACCCCCAGGATCAATAGTGACGGATACAAGGATGGGCCTCACTTTCCCTCCACGTTCAGCCCGCGTCCCAGACGTCTCCCTCAGGCACCCCAATTCTGCTCGGATCCCCCAAACTTCCCTGACACTGTGCAGGGCACTCCTACCTGGCCTGCTGCTCACCTGGGCATTTGGTGCTCCCTGTGACCACTGGCTACTCACCCTGCATGCCTGTCCCTGCTATTTCCACTCCGGTCCCTGCTTGGACCTTGCCACCAGGATCCTTGCCTGGCCTCCTACCTGGTCTCCCTCCCTCTGATTGCTGGACCTACCAGGTATACTGTCCTTGTCTCTCAGCCCAGAATGCTGGGTGCCCTGTGACCCATGGAACAAAGGCCAAAGGCCCCCTTCAGCCTGGCCACCGTTACCTGGCCCAATCCCTGCTGGCCAGATTCAATCGCCCAGTGTCTCTTGCCACCTCCAGGCTTTTTCTCAAGTGAGACCCACGACCCCGAATGCCACTCCTTCCCTCTGGCCCGCTCTGTACGTCTGATGCGTACCCCACTCCTTCAGTGCCCCACCTCAACCCACAGCTTGCCCTGACTCCAGCAGGGGTCGTCTCTGATCCTCAGGGCCGTGTACCTCCACTGCAGAGTGACCTACAACTCTTGCTGGCCTGTGGGTTCCCTTAAAAAAAAGTTGCCATCGAGTCGACTCTGACTCACAGCAACCCACATGTGTCAGAGTAGAGCTGTGCTCCATAGGGTTTTCAATGTCTGATTTTTCAGAAATACATCTCCAGGCTTGTCTTCTGAGGTGCCTCTGGGTAGACTCAAACTTCCAACCTTTCGGTTAATGGTCCAGCATGTTAACCATTTGTACCACCCAGGAGGCTTTAGAAATAGGTGTTCAAGAACATTTGTTGCATGAATGAATGATGGAAGCAAACCAGTGAGAAGGTGAATAAATGAGTGAGATAATGGGTTGGACAATTCTAGAAAGTGATCAGCAACAAAGTTCTATTTTTCGGCAGGTCTCTATAGCCTCTAGGAATTCGCTCTCTTTGCTCTTGTGTTGACCCTAAGGAGGGTTAGGTTGTGATGATGATGATGATGTTAATCATTAATAATGATAATCATGATGTATCAAGATAGGATAGGCTCTGTTTCTATTAAAAAAAACCCAAATCTCAAGGGCTTTAAACAAGAGTTTATTTCTTGCTCACACTACATATCCATCAAGGGGTAAAGGGAGCTCCTACTCTCTGACAGAGGGGGGAGGTTCTGGGTGATCTCATTCCAGCAATTAAATGCTCCGTCTGCTGACACCTCATTGGCCAGAACTGATCACATGGCCCCACCCAACCAGTAGACATTCAGGAACCCTACATGCACTGGTGTGGGGGGGACTGGAAATTTTGGCCAACAGCTCTTTGACACCTCAAATAACAATGCTAACAGCAAAGGTCAATTGTTGAGGAATTTCTGTGCTCCAGACTTTGGTGTAAGGACAGATACAGCAGTCACTATTCTGAGGCCAGTACCATGACTGTCCCGATTTTACAGATAAAACAACTGAAGCCCACACAGTAAAGGGACTCACTGAGGTCACACATCCTGTAAGTGGCAAAGCTGAGTGATTCTAGCCCCTTCTCCACCCCACACCAGGCCCAGACTCCCTGCCGGAGCTGGCTGGTAGTCAACGACTGCCCTGGGTGGACAGGGAGTAGCTGTGTGAAGGTCAACCTGCCCACCCCCATTAGAAATGGGCTCCTGGCACTGCCACATCCTATTTCTAGGATGAAGGGTTCTCAAATGTTAGGACCCTTGGAGGTGACGAGGCCAGACCCACATTTTGCCAATGGGTAAACCAAGGCCCAGAGGGAGCGGTGACTCGGCCAAGATCACACTGTGGAGCTGTGTAAGGCCAAGATGAGATCGCAAGCCTCTGCCCCTACTGCATGAGTATCCCCAGCTGACTTAACAGTACAAGGGTGCCCTGGGGCATCCTTAGCTTCGGGAAGGGACCCCTCAGGAACCGAGGGTGGTCACAAGCACTCCACTGTCCCAGGCAGCAGGGCAAGGACATAAGTGTCCACTGAGGAAGGGTCCCCGGCCCTGACCACCTGGACCACCCTCTGAGGAGCTGGGATGAAGGGGGGCCAGTCTCCACCCAGGACTTCTGAAAACAAGGCCTTGGGGCCACCAGAGAAGCCACGTGGGGGTCCATCAGAAGCAGTGTGGAACAAAGGAAGGCTATCAGTGGGGCGTGAACACAGACTCACCTGGAGTCAGATCCCAGCCCTGCTCTGTGACCTTAATCTCACCAAGCCTCAGTTTTCTCATCTGTAAAATGGGGTTGTGTTCAGGATTACAGATTATCTACCCCATACCTGACACATAGTTGATGCCCAACAAATGCTGTGGCTATTACGATGGTTCCTGTCATTTATTTTATGTATTCATTTTGCCCATGAACATCCCCACCTCCCACTTGAGCCCCAGGACCATGATCTAACATAGTTGCTTAGTGAGAGCTAGGCCCTCACCCTTGAAAGGTCACAGGTGAAGGCTCTTGCTCTGGCTCCTCCCAAAGGTGCCATGGCCCAGAGCATGGTCAGAAAGCAGCCCAGCCCTGCATCCCCTGCCCAGGCAATGCCACAGACTCCCAGGTGCCCTGTACCCATCAGCCTGGTCTCCTGAGGGAGACGTGCCACTGGGTCCTCCTCACCCTCCTCTGAGCCTACCCTCTCCCTGGAAGCCTTTGTCTCCGAGTCCCTCACAATGACCCTGACCAGCTCCTGGGGGGCAGAGGGGAACAGGGCCTTCTCGCCTGTGAACACCACACATCATTCAGTCCCCCAGCCAGCCAGTCCACAAGCATTTATTGAGTACCTACTACACACAAAGGAGCCCTGGTGGCACAGTGGTTAAAGTATTCAGCTGCTAACTGAAAGGTCAGCAGTTCAAATCCAACAGCCGCTCAGTGGGAGAAAGATGTGGCAGTCTGCTTCCATGAAGATTTACAGCCTTGGAAACCCTATGGGGCAGCTCTACTCTGTGCTATAGGGTCGCTATGAGTCAGAATTGACTTGGTGGCAGCAGGTTTGGATTTTTTTGGTTTTACTATGCACAAAGTGCCACACAAGCCACCATGAGGGAGATGGAGTGAAAAGGGCATGGCTCACCTCTCTGCAAGCCCACCACACAGCAGACACAATGCACGATGGACACTGCACAGCTCAGCAGTTACCAACGCAGGCTCCGAAGTCCCTCAGACCAGGTTCTAGGCCAGCTCTGCCACCTCCTGCCTGAGTGCCTCTGGAGCATGCTGTATTCCCTCCGTTAGCCTCCATGTCTCCATCTGCAAGTGGATAGCACAGGATCCACCTCACGAGGTGACAAGCACACCGAGCCTGACCCACAGGTGTGTTCGACCTGGGTGGGCCTCACTCTTCTCCTTGGCCAAGGCGAGGGCAGAACTCCACGGCATGCCAGGAGACCTCCCTCCAGGCTCCCCTCACCTCATTAGTCAGAGGAGAATGGTCCGCCCGGCTGTGATGCCACCTGACGTCCTGGCAGCCTGCCCAGTCACCTCCATTTTGTCTGCAAGGACATCTGGGAGGGCGGGGAGGCATGCCAAGTACTGGCTAAAGGCCAGACATGCTGAGACCCCAGCAAACCAGAAGAAGCCCACCCGGTAGGCCCCCCTGCCACTGAGTCCACATGGAGCCATCTCTTAGCCCCAGGAGCGCAGTAGACCCACAACAAAAATCTGCGAGTAGGGGAAGGGGCTATGCTGAGGCAAGTCCTGCCTGAGATGAGGTGGGTGGTTCAAGCTTGCCTGCCATCAGGAGTCCTGGCAGTAGTGAACTGCTGAAGGTTGTCGAGCAGGAGAGAAGCCCCGGCCCACCTCTCCAGCTCATACTCATCGCCCTCTAGTGAGCTCAAGCATTTTGAGGCTGTCCCTTCCCCCCACCATATCAGGCATGTTCCGCCCTAGGCCTTTGCTCAAGTGGCTCCCTCCACGGAATGCCCCTTGTGCTTATATTCACTTGTGCTTATATTCTTCCTCCCAGGCTGAGCTTAGCTGCCTGTCCCGACCTTCCTTTCCAGTCTGGGCTCAAAGAGCCTTCTCTGCTCCCTTGAAAGCAATCCTTGTACACTATAGCACAAGCATTCCTCTCTAGGGTGCCTCCTCTGACTGGAGCCCTAGCAGGGCAGAGCCCCAATCAAATATCCTTGATGCCCTCGGCACTGCCCAACACCAGGCAGGGCAGGGCCAGGGCAGACTCGGTGTAGGCACTTGTGTTCTGCTTTAGGGTTCTGTCTCCAAGACAGCACAGAGGGAGGAGGAGGGGGCCCACTCTGGGATACAATGCCATCAGTGTAGACCAGAGGGTAGGGAGGTCTGGGTGGGGGCGGAGAGGAGGGGCTGGGGTGCAAGCAGGCCTCACCAGGCAGAGCGGGGAGGAGAAGGGGCCACCTTCTAGAATCACATGACCAGCATGCCTTCTCCCTCTTCCCTTTCCTCTTCCCATCTGCAGAAAGAGAAGTAGGGGAGAAGAGAGGTGGGGACCTGGGAAAGAGAAGGGGGTGCAGGCCTCTCTAGGCCCGGTGCCTCCTGGTGGCTCCCCTGGTTGGTGTGGGGAGGCGCATGTGTCCCACAAGAACACCATTAGGCATCAAGGCTTCCCTGAGGTTCCCATCATCTCCCACAGCCCCCAGGGCCCCCAGGCTGGGTGCGGGCCTGCATAGCACTTCCTCTACCCCTGTGCCATTTCCAGGGACATACAGGGACTGGTAGAGTCAGATGGGCTGGCCACAAGGAACCCTCAGTCCAGGGGAAGGGACACACCCAGAAATCCCACACCCTGGGCTGCCCCACCTTCAACAGAGGGCCCTGACCAATCCCAGGAGACCAGAGGGGCCTTCCTGGAGGGGCAGGGATGGGTTTCAAGGAAGTTGAGCAGGGGAGCTGAGGGGCCTTTGTTCCAGGCAGGGGGACAGCTCATAAAAGGCAAGGGAGGTGAGGCAGAAAATTGGGGGGGGGTGCCCCTGCAAGGCCACACAAACTCCTCAAGAGCGCCTGGTACATATCATGAGCGCACCATAACCCCCATCGACTGCCATTAGTACTGTGTGTGCAGAGCGACCTGGGTCTATATCCACAGTGGCCTATCCCAAAGGGCCTTAAATGCCAAGCCAAAGGCACCTTAGCACCAGAAAGCCAGCGGCTGTCATACACTTGGCGGGGGCTGCAGGACGGTGGCAGTGGCAGGAGGGGCAGCAGGCCAAGTCCCAGTCTGGCTTAGCGGTTGAATGCCGGGCGATAAATTAATTGAATTACTCTGTCACGCCAGCCTCTTCCCACCCCGCGCGGAGCTCTGAGGATGTGTGGGGCTTGGCTGTGGCCTGGGCGCCGTGGCTCGGAGGGCACAGCACCACCTGCTGCCGCCTTTGGCTGGCGGCTGGCGCTGTCTTCCAGGTAATTAGGGCGGTCCGAGAGGGTACACGGCCAGACTCTGGGCAGGTGCAATTAGAGCCACGCTCCAGCCATTAGGTATTCCTGCAGTTCATTTGTATAAGCACCAGAGGACGCTTTGATGTAGCCGCCTCCCAAGGGGGGTCAGCAGGTGAGCACGAGCAGAGGCTGGCCAGGCTGAGGAGACACAGGAGACCCTCCCCTTGGGGCCAGATCGCGTACCTGGAGCCAGACCAAATCCGAGAGCAAGGATTCCCCAAGGACCTGGAAATATGGTGGGCAGGACGGGGGGGCCAGCCCAGGTCTCAAGAATAGGTCTTTGGAGGTGAAGGAGAGTGGGCAGGGGTTGCTTTCCCAAAGAACTGGCTGGGGAGACAGGCCTGCAGGTGCCAGGTGACTTACACTGGGCCCCACAGCAAGAGGGCTAGAGGCCCGGTCTCAGCCCAAAAGTGGCTCATTTATTCAACACCAGCAATGGTAGCAGCCTATGCTTCAGCCTGTTATAAGCGCTTAGCAAAATTCTCTCACTTAATGCCCTGGCAGCCCAGGAGCTAGTAGGTACATACTACTGTGATTCCCAGTTTACAGACAAGGAGACTGAGGCTAGGGAGGTGGGAAGTGACTTAGCCAGAATCTCAAACCAACCCCAAAATCAAACTTGTTGCCATTGAATCAATTCCGACTCACAGTGACCCTACGGGACAGAGTGGAACTGCCCTATGGGGTTTCCAAGGCGGCTGTAATCTTTACAGGACCAGACTGCCACATCTTTCTCCCTTGGAGAAGCTAGTGGGTTCAAACCGCCGACCTTTCGGTTAGCAGCTAAGCGCTTAATCAATGTGCCACCAGGGCCCCTGTGGTGGTCGCATAGCTGGTAAAAGCCAAGGTGAGGCTTTGAACCCAGGCAGGTTGTCTCCTGTGGCTGCACTCATAACCTCAAAGTCATGCAACTGAACACAATACCAGGCCAGCAGGATGAAGAGGTAGGTGCATGCCTTTGCCAAGCCAGGATCCCCTACCACACTCAGCCCCTCAGTCTCTCAGCTGCCCAGGCAAAGTCTTTGCTCTCAAGCCCCGTGCAGCTTAGGAAACTCTTCTCTCTCAATCCGGCCTTTATCCGTACAGCCTGCCTGGACAAAGATGACCTCCCTAGTTCGCAGACGAAGAAACGGGGACTCAGAGCAGGGAAGCAGCTTGCCTACTGGGCAATCACGTGACCAGGCCAGGATTTGAGCCCACCCCTTTGGATGCCACACCCCCACCCTGCTCAACCCACCCTGCTGAGAACTAGAGTGGGTCATTGGCCCTACTGCCTGCTGGGCCAGCGGGTGACGTGTCCATGTCAATGAGTGACATGATTGGGAAGGATGGCCTGGGTGGGGTGGGGGCTGTGGCTGTTGGAGGACTCGTACCACCCCACCAGGCAGGCTGTGGCCTTGTGGGAAGCAAGCTATAATAACAAGATACACTATAATTTTGAATTTGGGGATGAAATTGCTAAAGGATTACTCAGTGGTGATCCATTTCATTTTTTTTTTTTCCCCAAACACTGGGTAGGCCTTCAAAATGGGTCTGCAGTCTGGATGTGGCAGGAGGACCCCTGCAGGGTGATGGATTGCTTTTATATGGCCTTTCTAGACATGGTCTTGTAACTCTTACCAAATGACTGCGTAGGGCTACGCAAATGAGGTGCTTGTGGCCCACCAAGGGGACTGGATAGCTTGCTAATGCAAATAAGATGCATGGCACCCTTGAGGGGGGGACCATGCAAATAAGGTATATGGAACCCTAATGTGGGGATTGGTGAGTTTTGCCATCCCACTAGGCTTAAAATGAGCCAACCCAGAGGCAGATGGGGTGGGGGTGGGGGGCTCACTACCATCACGAAAGAAGAGCTGGAAGCGGAGCACGTCCTTTGGACCCGGTGTCCCTGTGCTGAGAACCTCCTAGACCCAGGAGACAGAGACAGAGACCTGTAACACTGGAGATGGTGCAAGATGACGAGAAGTTGGTGGCAAATGTGGCAGAGAACCGGCAGCAGCAGAACCAGGAGACCAGCAGCAGATGGCACAGTGGGCTTCCTGGCCCACGGAGCAAGAAAGCTGAGTGCATTTGGGCAGGAGGCTTGCTGGAGAGGTGCTGTGCCTCTGGGCACTTGTCGGCAGAGCTAGGCTTGCCGACCCACTGAGCGAGAGAGCTGAGGGCCTTCAAGCTGAGGCTTACTGGCAGAGTGGGGTGCCCCCCAGCACTTACTGGCGGAGCTAAAGAGCTTTATAACACTTGCCCAAGCAGGGTAGAGGCCGGGCCAAGGGCCAAAGAGAGGCCTGCTGTGGGCATGGCTGAGAAGAGGCTGCCCTGATCAAAGAACTGTATCCTGAGCATTCCTGAACCTGAACTGTAACCTACTAACTTCCTTAATAAACCCCATAATCATGAATATTGTCTGTGAGTTCTGTGTGCCCACTGCAACAAACTACTGAATCCAGCAGAGAAGCAGAGAGTGCCGTGGGAGGGACAGCTGGTGTCAGAATTGGTAAAAAGGTTGGAGAGAGGAGATACGTCTAACCTCTGCCTCATACAAACCAACTTTGGGCTCTCGATGCTGAAAGTGATTTTCTCTCCCCCTTGTGAAGTTAGACAAAGAGGTCAGATGACGATGCCTCCGCCACGCCACTTTTACAGCCCCCAATCTGCTACCTTAGTTCTAACGTGTAGCACAGTGCCTGGCAATTAATAGGTGTTCAGGAAATACCAGTGGAGCAAACAAATGCATGTGTGCATCAATGCCTCCCTATACAGTGGGGGGTGGGGGGTCCCTGGGTGGTGTAAATACGCTCAGCTGCTAACCAAAAGGTTGGAGGTTCGAGTCCACCTTGGGAGAAAGGCCTGGTGATCTTCTTCCAAAAAAATCAGTCATTAAAAATCCTATGGAGCACAATTCTACTCTGATACACATGGGGTTGCCATGAATTGGAGTTGACTCCATGGCAACTGGTGTAAATGATGGGGAAGGGAAATAGAAGCCAATTCTGCAATTTCATCTCTTCCAGGCTCCTGCCCAGGCAGGTGGTTCTGTGAGAGAAAAAGGGCTTTCATGCAACGGCAGGTGGGGCCTGTCATGCTGTGCAGTGGCTGCGAGCATCACCTGGGGCAGTGCCTCGTGTATTCCAGAGTCGAAGTTGTTGCTAACAGGTATCTTGAAGGCCCTGGTGGGGAAGGCAAAGAGCACTAAGAAAGGAGACACAGACCTGCCTGGATTTTACTCCGAGAGGATGGAGCTGGAGGGAAACATCCAGACCTTGAAGAGCCCAGAGAGGTTGGGCAGTGGCCTAGGGCCACACAGCACCAATCTGGGTCTCGATTCACTCAGACCTGGACCCGGACATCCCTCTGTCCACCAGAGGGGCTCTGTGTGTCTTCTGTACCACCTGTCTTGGCCTGTGATACCCATGTGTTCCAGAACATAAATGGACAATGACTCAGATCATGTGACTAATGTTGTCCCCCATGACCACAACCTTCCCAGAGCAGGACTTTTGTCTGTCCAGGTTATGGCTAATTACAGTGCCTGGCACACAGTAGGCCTACATACAGATCTGGCTGGATGGAAGTATTACCACTACAAATAGTCACAGAGCCAAAGAAAAATGCATGCCTGGTGTGGGTGGTCCTGACTCTCCAAGCCCTCCTGTCCCACCCCCGCCCATGTCTGGCTCAGGGGCTTGGACAGGGCCTGGGGGACTCATTCAGGGGAGGGGCCCACCCCCTCAGCTGCCCCTAGCCTGCAAAGGTATCTGTTCCACCGGGGCCCTCAGCAGCCTCATTAGCTATGGGGTTAAGGGGGCAGGGCTATCACATAGTGGAGGAAGCCAAATGCCTGTTACTTCCCGGGCCACTGGGCCCCATCCGGGCCAGGGGCAGGCCTGGGGCAGGCCTGGGGAAAGGACAAAGACAATGCCCCAAGCAGAGTCCACCTCAGAGCTGAGATTCTCCCCTGGGACTCAGGCCCCAGAGCTGGGATTCTCCCATCCTCTGCTGTCCTTGCTGCCTGCATATATGC